TATTTTTTCACGCCAACATAGACCCCCTTCGAGTCTTCCGTGGACCCCTATGGGAATAAAAGTTTATAATGTATAAAAATTGTTTGTTATGATATGCACGCGCTGCAAAATGCTCATGGATTTTTTTTTAGACTACAGTTTGCCGATTGAAAAATATTGAAGGATTCTATACCATTTCTACGAAGAATTTATTTTCCCCCATCTAAACATGAGACACATTGAGCGCTTTGAGCGCTTTGAGCGCTTTGAGCGACCACTAAATATTCTTTGTTTAAAAAAAAAGACAGTGCTGAGAGCAATAAAATTCTGTTTTTACTTTGCTTGGACCACCCTAATGTGCATATTCGTTGGTATATATTTCATTGGTCTAACTATGGAAACAATTTACAGAAATCACATTTAGCATTTCTTTTTTCTTTTATTTCAAAACACCATCTTCTAACGACTTACCAGCAAAATCAATTTAAATGAATTTAAATAAATATTTTGACATCTTGTCTCGCCGCATCTCGAGCATCCGTCGCGCATAAAAAGCAAACAGAATTATAAAATGACATCATACCAACACCGCTCTTCTGTCGCAACAACAAAGAATTGTAAATCGAAAGAGAAAAAGAAGAAAAAAAAAACAAATTAATGAATCCAAAAACAAAAGAACTTACACAAGCTACAAAAGTACTGTGTAGAATGAAAACCAAAAAGTAACTACAGAAGAATGTACAATTTTGAACTGCGATGCCACGTAGTAAGCACATCTTCACAATAAGTATGATCAGCAAAAAAAAAATACATATCTGTAAGCCATTAATCAGTCGTTTATTTCGTAAAACCGCAAGCTCGCCGAAAGAATCGAAGCAGATCGTCGCGTATATAAATATTTTTTTGGTTCAGCTGTATTTGCTTTTATTAATTTTTTGTTTTCTTTTTTATTTTGTTCGTCGCCGAACTGATTCATGTGCTATTTTTGCATACGATTCTAAAAAAAAAAAACAAAAAACAAAAAACAAAACCAAGTTAAGTTTCCTTCATTAATTTTATTGTTGTTTTTTCCCGTTTTTGGTATCATAACTTCGGTTATACCTTCTTCAGCTCATTACCTTCGATTAGTTAAGTATATAAAATGTATGCATGTAGGTATTTATGCCAAAACCTTTAAGCGTAAGTATGTGTCTCATATGTATCTACTGAGCCACAGCAGTCAGTCACATACTGCCACAAGAAATCAGGCTGGCAGTACGACAGTCATAAAGCCATAACGACTTCTTCTTTGCGCTTTGATTATCCCACATTAAAGACGCTTTCAGCTATTCATATCATACAGCCGTTGGGGCCTAGTATTTATATTCTGCTTATTTCGTTCTCCTTATAAGTATAAGTATGGTGATATGCAGTGTGACCAGATGGTCACAAATCCGCGGATTACACAACAAGTATTTTAAGAGTGAAGAGCAACTATATCATTTTGCTCTATAAAACAGTTTATAAAACCCTTATATGACTAAAAGGGCGGGGCTTGGTAGTACACATTATACTCTACAACTAGTTCCTAAATCGTATGTTGGTAGTTTTATAAGGACCTTATAACACAGTTAAAAGTGTTATAAGGCTATTTGTGTAGAATCGTCGGTCTGACACTGATTAAAAGGTCTGCTGCCAGCGCCTTATAAGACCTTCCAATGTTTTATAAGGCCATTTTATAGACTACTATAAGAGCTTTTTGAAACTACCAACATACAATTTTGCACTTTTTTAAAGCTCATACAGAAGTCTATAACATCAGCTGGTCCAAGGATTCACTCTGTGACGCTCCTTTTATAAATTGAAAAGCATAAAAAATAAATGGAGAAGTGTTTTATGAAATGAAATGTCAATTGAATAATAATAATAATTAAAGGACTTTGTCTAATTCCTTCGGCATTTCTCCTGAATGTAATTCTATGAACGTGACGAGTTTTCTGGTAAAATCGGGACCGCCACCCTTGCAAAAATGTATGCGCTTGCGAAATTCTTAATTTTTATTCAAAAATTTGGAAAATCGTATTTATAAAAAAAAACTCATTTACACTATAAAAAAAAATTGTGGCTTTTAATATAATTAACGGAACAATGAATCATTTTCTGTCATCAAAATTCCGAAAAACTTAAGAAAATTATAGTTTTAATTTGTTCACCTTTCAAACTTTTTTAATTACATAAAAATACACAAAAAATATGGCACTACAGTAAGATGTCTATCCAAAGACACTTATAAAGTCACTTTGTATATTAAAATCCAAAATAGGTTGCGTGGTGCGCTTGAACATACTAATTCCTTAACGAATTGAGCAAATTTATACAAAATACTCAAATCCTAAATTTCCAAATCGAGCGTTCTCTCATACCAAACGCTCCAAATGAAAATTTTCAACTCTTAAAAAAGTATACATGAACTTCAAGTTATGCCCGACGCTCTACTTTAAATCGCCTACAAAAATCTGAAAAAAATCCCTCAATTACCCACATCTTTAATAAGGTAATCACACGAAATTCTCTAAGAATTCAAAGCATATATTTCAGTAGTATATATGTATATGGGGCGCTCCATACCAAAACGTACGGGGTTCACACTTTATATGTTTGATTTATTTAAAATTTTTAGGGTTGATGCATAAACATGAATAATAAATAAATATGAAATTTGAGCTTGACTGATACATTTTTAAAAACTTTATAGCACAAAAACCAAAACAAATCGATTTAAAAGTTTTCCATATATCTCGGGAACGGGGTGAGGAAAAAATTTGAAAAAAATCCAAATGACCATTCATAACATGAGAACAGTTTAAAAATTGTTTTAAATGTTTAAAATTTACAATTTTACTTCACATCACATCTTTAAGGTGATTTATTATGTAAAAGCGTCGAATAATCTTAGTGGAATTTTGATCAATTATGCATCGATAATTTTGTTACGTGAAAATCCCTTTTTTATTTGAAATGCCCCTTTTTCCTCCTTTAATAATTTTTGTTGCAAAATATCTCTCAAATAGGGAAATTACACACAATCTCGCATCACTGACATGAAGAGCCTTGAACAGAGTATTTCCCTTTTAAACAGAGAATAATCATAGAAAACACTCAAATCCTAAACGTGCAAATCCAAAAGTGTACACGTAATTGGCCGTATGAATAAAAACTGAGCAATTACTTTTTCTTAAAATTTCATACCTGTTACTTCACTTTTGTTTGAATAAATCGAGTAAAAGGTCTGAAATTTTAAGAAAAAGCAATTGTTTAGTTTTATTCATACGGCCAAATGAGCCTTGAATAATGTATTTCCTGTTTGAATAGCGAAAGTTCATACCAAACCCTTAAATAGTAAATTTGAAGTCTTAAAAAGTTGAATAGAGTATTTCCTATTTGTTTCTCTTCGTTCAAAGTTTTGCTCAACAAAATTGCAATTGCATTGCAACAAACATTTTTCACTATGAATATTTTAAACAAAAAAGACCAGAAAAGAGCCACGAAGTCAGGCTGAAACTTCTGAGGCCATGGCTTAAAATGAAATGCTAAATCTCGTGTCAAAAAGACTAACCTGGTCATGCTGGTTATATGCATCTTTTTGTGTGCAGAAATGAATATATGTGAATATATTTACATACATACAAACATGTATGTTTTTATTATTTTTTTCTGTTTTTTGTTTTTTTTTTTTTAAATTCCGCATGATCATTCAATAATTCATTGCCATAGTGGTTTTATTTCAATTCTTACGAAATGCTCTTTGTCATTCTGAAGTGTCTGCACATACGCAAATAACGATTTGTGGACATACATATGCGACTATGGGTTTAAGAAACTATTTAAATATCAGATATCGATGGTTCTCTGAATTTTTAGTTCTGTCGTTAGCGCGGGGGACCATCGATATGTGAATGTAGGTAAGTATTTATGTATGTCTATTAGACTATGATATCAATGTCCAAA